CTAAGAATATCCTGGAGGGCTGGTTTAGTTATGGCAAATTTCTTCAACATGTGAATGTCATTAAAGTATTTAATTTCTCCATCATAAATGAAACTCAGTTTAGCTGGATACAGGATCCTGGTTTGAAAGTTATTTTGTTTTAGGAGATTAAAAGTTGATGACTACCCTCTTCTAGCCTGAAAGGTTTCAGCAGAAAGATCTGCAGTCATTCTAATATTCTTCCCCTTGTAGGTTATGGTTTTCTTACATCTAGCTGCTTTCAGAATTTCTCTTTCTAATTTTAGTGAAGTTAATTATGATGTGCCTGGGGAATGTCTTGTTTGGGTTGAGTCATGCTGGGGTTCTGAAACTGTGTGCTATCTGAATTTCAGAATCTCTTGGCATGTTTGGAAAGTTCTCTTTCATAATTTCATGAAGAAGAGCCTCTGTGTTTTGTGAAGCAACTTCGTCACCTTCAGGAATTCCTACAAGGTGAATATTAGTTTTCTTCGGATTATCCAGAGCTCTCTGAGAGAGTGATCCATTTTTGTTCTCCATTTCTCTTCATCTTTGAGTACTTGGGTGCGTTCAAAAGCTTTGTCTTCAATGTCAGAGATCCTTTCTTCTGCCTGCTCCATTGTTACCGAGGGATTCTACTGTATTTTTCAGATCTTTGAGGGCTGCAACCTCTTGCCTCAGTGTGTCAAAATCTTTGGTCATTTTATCTTTGAAATCATTGAATTCTTGAGACAGCTTTTGAATAATTTGAAATTCTAATTCCCTCCTTTCCTCCATTCTACTAATCTTATTTGCTATCCAGATTCTGAATTAGATTTCTGACATCTCAGCCATCTGTTTATGGATGGAATCTTCAATTGCATCTGCCCCATCCTTCCTTGGGGGAGTTGATCTACTCTGGTTATTCAGAACATACTCCAAAATTGACCACATCTTAGGTCACAAGTCTAACCTCAGCAAATTTAAAAGAATATAAATTATTCCTTGCATCTTCTCAGACCATCATGGAATAAAAGTTGAACTCAGTAACAACAGAAATCTGCAGACTCATACAAAAACATGGAAGCTAAATAACCTTATGCTGAATGATAGGTGGGTCAGAGACGAGATCAAGAAGGAAATTATCAAATTTGGGGGACAAAATGATAATGAAGATACATGATTCTGATTCTGCCCCATGTTGAATTTGCATGTTTGAAGACTGTCCCAAAACCGTTCCGCCAGTGGCTGCCATGGGAGAAGATGCCGGCTTCCTCTGGTTGCCCAGAGAGATAGGGTGTGTCTGTCTGGAAAAGCCTCAGGGGTGTGAGTCTTATTGTTCTAAGTGCTGTGGCTGCTGCTCTTCACCTCAGGGTACCACCGCTCCAGTGTGGTTCCCTCTCAACTGACCGTCCTCTTGCAGTTCTTGGGCTTTCAGGGCTGGAATGCTGGGAATGCATGGCTCAATCAGTCCTTGGGGTTCCCTGTGAGGGTGCCTAGAGCGTGGAGCACCAGTAGTGGTGTGGGTAACGCGTGGCTCAAGCAGTTCTCTGGCTGCAGGGCCAAGACAGGGTGCTTGGTCCCGCAGGGGTGGGAGGATGCTGCTCTTGGGCCTCCTCTCACTGTCTCTGCAGGCAAGGGGGAAAGGGTGGAGTAGAAATTCAAAATTTCCAAGGCAGTGAAAACATTAGTTTGACTTTTTTTCAGAAGTGCCTCCTTAAATGAGTTTGACAGTGGGAAGGGGCTCCTTAAAGTATTCTGGAAGGGGAAAAAGAGGGCATGGATACAAGGAGGGAGGCAAAAAGAAAGTGAAGGAGAGGGGGAACAAAACTTAGAGAATGCTCATAAATCCCAGATTGATTTTATGACCTATGGTGAGAGGAGCTCTGGTGACTTACATTGTTTGTGTTGAAAATGTCCTGCAGACCCACAGGATCAGGCAAATACTTACCTTGGTAATGACAACATCCAGGAGCTTTACCGTGAAGTGGTTGAAGCTTCAACTTTCAGGGTCCCTTCCTTGCACTGGTTCCTCCCAAAACCTTGGGGAATGCTCTAGAAATGTGTTCCTGTGTTCATGTGTATAAGCCTTAAACCACACAGACTCAGATACAGACCTGCATTGCAGGAACTGAGCTGGCAAGAGAATAATGTGCCCGCAACCACCAGTGTCCACAACCACCAGTGCCCTACAAGTCAACACTTCCCCTTTTCCTTTTAAATTTCTTTGTGTGATGTATAAGTATTTAACCTACTTTGTATTTCATTTGTGCAGATGAAATTATGCAGCAGGAAGTCAGGCCCTTGGTGGCAGTGGATATAATAGAACAGCTTCACAGGCGATTTGCCATTCTTTCAGGTAAGGGGCAAGTTCATTTGCATGTATAGATTTTGATGGGAGGGGGTCCTGCTGGGAGGGCCCTGCCTCTTGAACCTTGAGAAATGTTACACTCAAGTCCCACTTACCCTGTAAGCCTCAGCCCCACCTAGGACTAGAGCAGACTGAGGACTACTCTGCTGGAGGAGGGTGGGGCCTCACAGTGTCATTCCTTCTGTAGTTGACTGCAACTTGGGCTTTCCCCAGGGAGTGCATTTCTTTGAGATTATAAAGAACAGGGATGAAAAGACTTTGAGAATAGGAAAAGGAATAAGTACTGACATCAGCTGCCCAGTGACGTTGTTCCAATATTCTTGTTGGTTGTTCTGAAAAGATTCAGCCTGAGAGGCTCTTGGTTGTAAGGGTTCATGAGTATTGCTGAATTTATTTGTTTCCTGAGAGATCTGTCTTTTGTTTTTAGCTCTTTTAAGGAGGATTTCATCAAGCATTTGAGAATAAGGACAAGCTTCTATAAATAAAAGGCTAGAAATGTTTTGAGCCTAGGCACAGCCTTGAAAAGCTTTATGCCTTGAATACTTTTCTTTCTTATTCACTTAGCTAAGTGTGACAGGACTTTAATTACTAAAAGTGGAGGTACATACAACCCTACATTGTAGTTAGGGCAAATTTGGAAGCATGGAATAGTAATATTAAATGTCCGTAGTGTAGATTACAGGGGAATAAGGTGCCAAGTTATTTTCTTCAGCTTTTACGTCTGTTCTGAAAAATCAACAAAGCCATCTCAGTGCATCACACACAGAATATGCAGTTTTTTGGTTGTAGTTGTCATTGTTGTTTGGCAGGCCTGGGCTGGATTTGAACCAGCCAGCTCTGGTGTATGTGGCTGGTGCCCTAGCTGCAGAGCTACAGGTGCTGAGCCCTCTCTGTCTTTTCTTATGGCTGCATAGTATTCCATGGTATACGTATACCACAGTTTGTTAATGGGTTGATGGACACTTGGGTTGCTTCCATGTCTTGGTAACTGTGAATTGATTGAGCTGCAGTAAACATTCCAGTGCAAATGTCCTTATGATAAAATGATTTGTTTTTCTTCTGAGTAGATACCCAGTAGTGGGATTGCAGGATCAAATGGAAGGTGTACTTTTAGCTCTTTCAGAGTTCTCTGTACTTCTTTCCATAGAGGCTATATTAATTTGCAACCTCACCAGCAGTGTAAAAGTGTTCCCTTCTCTCCACATTCATGGCAGCATTTGTAGCTTTGGGATTTTGTGATGTGAGCTATTCTCACTGGGATTAGGTGACATTTCAGGGGGATTTTGATTTGCATGTCTATGATGATTAGGGACCATGAGCACTTTTTTTTTTTTTTTTTTTTTGTTGCAGTTTTTGGCCAGGGCTGGGTTTGAACCCACCACCTCTGGCACATGGGGTTGGCGCCTTACTCCTTTGAGCCACAGGTGCCGCCCGACCATGAGCATTTTTTCACGTGTTTGTTTGCCATTTGTCTTCTTCAGAGAAGTTTTTATTCAAGTCTTTTGCCCACTTATAAATGGGATTATGTGCTCTTTTCTTGTTGATTAATTTGAGTTCTCTATAGATCCTACTTATCAACCCTTTTTCATGTTGGTAACATGCAAATATCTTTTCCCATTCTGAAGTTTGTCTATTTGTTCTGATTGTTCTGTCCTTAGCTATGGGGAAGCTTTTCAGTTTAATTAAGTCTCATTTGTTTATTTTTGTTGTGATTTCAATGATGTCGTCTTCATAAACTCTTTTCCCAGGGCAACATTCTCAAGAGTTTTCCCCACACTTTCTTCAATGATTTTTATTGTTTCATGCCTTAGGTTTAAATCTTTTATCCATCTTGAGTAAATTTATGTAAGTGGTGAAAAGTGTGGGTCAAGTTTCAGTCTTTTACATGTGGTTATCTAGTTCTCCCAGCACCATTTATTGAACAGGGATTCTTTTCCCCAGTGTATGCTTTTGTTTGATTTATCAAAGGTCAGATGGCAAGTAGAGACTGGTTTCATCTCTTGGTTTTCTATTCAATTCCAAATGTTTATGTCTCTATTTTTGTACCAACACCATGTTGTTTTGATCACTGTGGACGTGTAATATAGCCTGAAGTCTGGTAGGGTGGTGCCTCCAGTTTGGTTTTTATTACTAAAAATTGCCTTGGCTATACTGTTTTTTTTTCTGGTTCCATACAAAACAAAGAACTATTTTTTCTAGTTCTTCAAAGTATGCTTTTGCTATTTTAATGGGGATTGGATTGGGAAGATTCCAATCTATAGATTGCTTTGGGAAGTATAGACATTTTAACAATATTGATTCTTCCCAGCCATGAACATGGTATGTT